GAAGAGAAATGAAAGAATGTTATGGAATTTAAAACAGTAATTCCAATTTACACGTGCCCCTTTAGCAAAGCTCAGAGGCTCAGGCATGCCCCGAGTTTGTGATTCGTACACAAAGAGATTAACCAAGGTTGCCCCCTAGAGAGTCATGGATAATTTGATAATTTCAAAAAAACCGTTCCACTTGCTTAAACGCCGGTGTTTTGAATATGGAGTGAAACCTTTATGAATTCTTGCTTTCGAAGGGAATACTCGAGCCACCTTTCGATTACAACTCAGATAGACATTTCTTATTTTTATATGTCCCTAACTTTTGCATAGGACGTATCCTATCGGGATTTTGATTTTTTTTTCTTCACCCTAATTTTTGCCTAGGACGCCCTTTACGGGTTTTCATCCTAGCGGGTTTCTGTCATGCAATGCCTTTATTCTTTAATTGGGTTTTGTCTTGTAATTCCCTAGAAGCAAGGATTCGTCCATTCTTGGTCATTCCTCCTATCCTGGCAATTGTCCTTTTCGCATGGGAAAGTCTCGGTGTTTGAATCGTCGATTTAGGCGTGTGATGCCCCCAATTACTGACAAGTGTTCCTCGATTTGATGTGTCGGGTTCGCATTTGATTATAGTAATTTTCATTATCCGGTTAACATGCACATATTAGGCTTCCCTTTTTATTCTTATTTATTATTTACAAAGAAGGCGTTCTATCTATATGAAACGTAAAATAGGATGCAAAGACACTTGAGAAATTCAATGAATATCATTCACATTGATTTTTGTTTAGAGAACATTCTTTGCATACTATTATATGTGCCTTCCGTCTCTAATGGATGCATGCTAATATATTATCCTAGGAGATGCATGATATTTATTTTCTACCTAAATTTTATCATGTTTTTTTATATTTTACTATAGGTTATGATGCATGATTTTTGCTATATTTTTTTTTTCTTTGAAACAAACTATCCTATATGATGCTTTAGAGCTAGGGTATACAGAAGAGTGTTAGTTTTTTTATTGATATCTATTTATTTGTCTATAATTCCTCTCTATTTGAAATGAACAAAAAGAGAACACAATAAATGCAACACACATATGCTCAAACAAATGTACACCCGCGGACAGTCACGTTCAAATCCTTGGTCTATGGTCCCTGTAAGAAAAGTGCATTGTATAGGATGGTTCTAATCTCACTAGTTTTAAGGCCTCCAAGGTGCCCCCATTATAGGGACCTAGTATCACTGTCGCCGTCACCTGACAAACTCTAAGATCTGTCATAGTATTTCGGGCAAGACTAACCAGTTATCACCTTGAGTGTGATTTTCGACAAGGCTCACATGCTCCAAGGCCAAACTTGGGCTAGTCGTACGTCAATCACTCCCTATGTTTAATACCCTCATGCCCCCATGTGTAGGGGGAACTATTGTGTGCAAAGGTTTGTGTACAATTTGTATTCAAGCATGTGTAGAATTTAAACAAGCAAACAGATATCAAAGCCAAACAAATAAAGCAAACAATGTAAAGGAGAAAAATATTTAAATTTTTATTTTTATTTTATTAACTTCATCAATTAAATGGGCCTAACCCTCTTTAAACTTCCCCAGCGGAGTCGCCATCTATCGCAACCCAAAAATTTCTGATCTTGCGACCTATGGTTTAGACATCCTTTTGAAAATCTCATCAATTAAGGAATGTCCGAACGCCAGACTAATCCTTAATCAATGGTTTTGAAAATAGGTTCTTAGGAGTCGCCACCAATGTTTTACTCAAAATATTGAAAAAAGAAAAGGTTTTTTTTAAAGTCCAATAATGGCCTTAATAACCAGAATTGGGTTTGGGGGCCGGTTACATGTAGGGAAGGTATTAAGCACCCCTACAACGCCCTTAATCGGTACCTTATGATGAAGTTAACATTATAAGCAATAATAATATAAATATTAAATCCTTTTTATTGATGACTATTTACATGCTTGAACTTTAAATTAAACAATTGACTCTAAAATATCTACATGATTGCTTTTATTATAACAATACTTATCAAAAATAAGAAATAAAAGGGAGAGAAGAAGATTGATTGAAATACCTCGTAGCAAGCTTTGTTAAATCTTCCGATATGGAAATTTTAGGTGCTTTGTGGCAACCTTTCACACTACACAAATGCCTCACAAATCTCAAAAAATACAATAGGAGGGAGAGAGAGGGAGAAATTTCGAGCTCTAAGGAGTCTTGCACGAAATTTTGAGGCCGTGAGAACTGTGCCCGAGCTGTCTATTTAAAGACATCAAAAAGTTTCTAGAACGGCCCGTTCCAAAATCGGAACGGCCTGTTCTGGATCCGACCATTCTGTGTTAATTTTGTAACTAGAACGACCCATTCTAAAACTAGAACGGTCTGTTCCAGAGATGAGATTAACACATAATTGGCTAGGCTGGAACGGCCGTTCCAAACAAGGGTTTTTAGGCCTTTTTCATAACTTAGAACAGCCCGCTCCAGTTTAGGAACGACCCGTTCCAAACTAGGGTTTTATGCCCTTTTAGGAACTTGGAATAGCCCGTTCCAAATTGGGAACGGCCCGTTCTGGTTTTGCAACAATCCATTCCAGGCTACTAAGCTTGTTTGGGCTTTTAGGCCTCCTGATGTCTTGTCCTGTTGTTTCCATGTTTCGAGAGCTCCTTTCATTAATAATAAACGTCCATTTCATTGTTTTTATGGGTCCGGATGAAATTGGGTGTCTACATTGCCTAAAAAGGACAAAACATGGGAGAAGGTTTAGTGGTCACCAAATAGAACAAATCAGGGGAGAGGAGAAGCGTTCTCTTCATGTGTAAGGAAGAAAATGAACAATATTTACCTCTTAAGCTCATTAACAACCTTTCTATCTCGATTGTTACTTTACTCGACATAAAAAGAAGTTTTATGTTGGGTGATGCTTTGCTCGTCATAAAAATCAAAATATTTTATGATAGATTGTTAACCTCACAAACACTTTTTATGATGAGTGAAATTACTATCATCATATAATATGCTTTCCGTAATAGGTAAATCATCACCTAGCATAGATAATTTTCCCTTATTTTTAGTTGTCACCATAAATAACTTTCTATAACTTTCTAATAGGTCAATCTCTTAAATAAGAAATTATTGAATGTTATTATTTTATTATTGTAGTTTAGTAGTAGTTTGATTAATTATTTATAGTAGTTTCTCAATTATTTACCCATTTAGTATTTTAGGCCAAGAACAAATAATAGATGCCCCTAATAGAGATTGACACTGTCAAATTTTCCACTCACATTAATCATGATTTGAATTTACTTCTTAAAATTATATTTACTATAAATCTTCATTGAAAATTTGTGATCTTCCCAAGTCAAGAAAACATACTTATTTTCTTCTAATTAAAACTTTTATTTCATCTTAAATAAACCGAACAAATAATACATGCCGCGTAAAAATATTTTACATTCATCTAATCATTAGCAGCTATTTATAATAATAATTAATTTTTCAATAAATTCATCTTACGAAATATTAAATAAATACGATTTTGTGGCTAGGCTTCATTCTAGATCTGATATAAGTTCCCGTGTGTAAAGAAGCGTTGGGTCTATTAATTATTTATCTTTTTTATTTTTATTTTACCTGATTATTTGCCTCAATTAATATAGAGAAGATATCATTTCCTTCCACAAACAGACCCATGAAGTCAAATGGTGCAGCGTTTTGTGAGAGTTGATACTTGACCAACGGAAAGGGGATCTCAATGGACAACACCAAGTCTCTTTTGGCACTCGAACCAGACGATGATGGCAGAGTCAAAAGAACCGGTTCGTTCTCTTTCTTAATTTCTCCGAATTGGGTTCTCACTTTATATTCTGTTTTCCTCCAAATTTTTCATGTCCAACTTTTATGGGTTATAAAAACATTATCTCTGTAGTTCAGTACAACGTTTGCTTCGTATTTTAGTTGGATAATAATACCAAACATATTATTCCGATTTTCATAATTTTTTTCAGAGTTCTAGTGAAGTATTTAATATTTTTGAGAATTTAAAATTAGACAGTTTGTATTTACTTCTCCTCATGCCTGATTAGAGATCGATATTATTAACCTTTCTTCTTAATCTTCAATTCTTTTGAATTAACACACAATTTCATCCCTAAAAGTGCTGTTTTCATTCTCGAAAACAATTATCCTCATTCTCTAAATTATTTTTGAAGGACGCAATTGTTCTTGAGTTGATTATTTTGTGGGAGTAAGTTTATCTGACTTTTTTAGAGATCAATTTTATGATTTTATAACATCACATGTGCTTCCATAAATTAAAACAAGTTACCACTTTCAAGAATGCGTATTAACTCATTTATAACCAAAACTGAATGTATATAAAAACTGAGTGTGTTTAACTAATTAAATAATCATTTATGAGAATCTAAAGTTAGGCATGTATTATTTCAATATTTGTAACTCATTTATACTACGTTGTGAATGATTTTTGAAATTTTTCTCACTTAATTTTTGAAGTTGTATATCTTGAAACTCAACTTTCAAAATTTTGTATATTTTGTCACCATGTTAGAGGATCGCTGATGTAACATGTTAATTGATGACGAGAGTTTCTGATGTAACACTCATATGCAACATAGTATAATGTGTTACATTGGTAATCAATGGATTACATCAACTGTCAATGTGTTGTATTAATGATCAGTTGATCACTAAGTTATCAAAACACGTGAAAATTTGAAAGTTGAATGACAAAATGTATAATTTGCAAAGTTTGGTTGACTAAACATATTGAACTTATTTGTCATAAGTATATAGCAGACATTTGAGTTGTTGTTTGAGTTTGGTTTGCAGGGAATGCATTAACGGCTAGCATACACATTATAACGGTGGTGGTTGGGGCAGGGGTGCTGTCTCTGGCATGGGCCATGGCCCAACTAGGGTGGATTGCTGGTGTAGCCTGTATCCTTGCCTTTGCAGGTGTTTCCATTTTCACATACAATCTTGTAGCTGATTGTTACAGATATCCACACCCTGTTACTGGCACCAGAAATTACACTTATATGCAGGCTGTCAAGGCTTACTTAGGTATCAGTTCCACTCTTACATGATTTAATTACTTCCTCTGCCCAATTTCTCCTTCTAAGTATTAATTTTCACTGATTATGTGTTGTTTGTGAGAATTGCATATCATCAATTGATGGTGAAAGATTGGTGGGCACTTTAGGTGCCTTGGGGTGGTTCTATATTGAGAAAGAGATATAGGAAGAGAAGAAGGATAAGTAAATTGGTAATGATATAATTGGTGTTGTGGTGGGGAGACAGAGAAAAAGTAAAAGTATTAAGTGTGAAGTGTTTATACTGTTTGAGTGTGTAAATATATAACAGCAAAGAATACAGAGCAACACTGCTCTGTAATGAAGTTGTGGAGAGGTATTTTAGAGAACAAAATATTATACCTGTTGATTGAATAATTAATCTATGGTAAAGTAAATGTATATTATTGAGAATAAAAAGTATTATTTACTATTTTATTTATGTATAAAACTTAATAGTGTTGAATTTTAGAATTTAAGAGTAATTTTCATTTTATAAGTTGGATTTTGTTGAATTGAGTTATGTTTGAATCCACTTTTTAAGATATATATTAAAATAATTATCAAAACTTATTTATATTTTTAACCAATAATTATAACTTCATACTTTATTCTCTGAAATGCTTCACTTTAATGGAATCAAATGACCAAGTCCATATTGCTATTTGATAATAGGTGGAACAATGCATGTGCTTTGTGGATTAGTTCAATATACGAAGCTCGCTGGGATCACAGTGGGCTACACAATAACTTCGTCCACAAGCTTGATGTACGTAAAATAATTACTACTAAACCTTATCACAATGTGCAAATGGGATATGATCAAGTCTAATTTTTACCATGCCCAACATTTTAGCCTGATGTTATTTGTAAACCTTTATATTTTAAAACTTTACCATTTGTTATTTAGAATATTAAAAAAAAAATCTGTAGATTCTTATGAAAGGACCAAGGAGCATCATTTTTAATGTTAAGAGTACAATTATAAACTTTTAGACTATAAAATATAAGCTTTTTATGCTTTTGTTTTATGGTTTATGATGATGAGTATGATATGGCAGAGCAATAAGGAAAGCAATTTGCATCCACAATGGAGGAGATTCAGCTTCGTGCAAGTTTTCGAATAATGCCTTTGCGATTGGTTTTGGAATCTTGCAAATTTTCTTGTCTCAAATCCCAAACTTCCACGAGCTCACATGGCTCTCAACTCTTGCAGCTATAACCTCTTTTGGTTATGTATTCATTGGTAGTGGGTTATGTCTCGCGGTTATCCTCTCAGGTAACTTCAGTTTTCACCATATTAATCTTATATTTATAATAAATGTATAAATTAGAATAATTATTTTCAGGACTGATTTTTCAACAAGGATATTTTTAGTGATTTTTTTAAATATTTTATCTCTTTAGTTTATCAAATTTGTTTTTCAATTAAATTTTAATATTTTTTAATTAAGAAAAATTATCAATAGTTAAGAATATTTTTGTATTACAATGTAAATTATTTACCATAAATCTAAAATATAATTTATATAGTAACAATATTTATTTATTATAAATTTTACTGATAATATAATTTAAATATTCAAAAGTATTTATTTATTATAAATTTTGTTTATATAAAATAAAAAATTATCTTGTACATTACACTAGTCAAAATACTAGTTTGTATATTAAAGGAACTTACTATTAATTACCAAATTTTACTCTTATAAGTATTTGATTATTTAGTTTATTCATTTTGTTCATTTGTTGTTTTTAACCTTTTATTTTATTTTATTTTTTATTTCTTCTGTTTTATAATAAGTGTCGTCTTAAGTTATTTGACACTGACAAAAAGTAAAAATTAATAAATAGGAGAAAGGTGATGATTTTATAAATTAATCTTATGATTAATCTTCTTTATTATAAATGATGTTTCTAAATTTTATTATGAAGAATATAAATAAAAATAAGTAATAAATATTATATTATAATGATACTTATTATTTTTTTTAACACAACACTTATTATAACAAGGAATTAGTACTTATTTATCGTCCTAGATAATGTATATATTTTAAGAATGGTAACAATATCATTTTTTTACTAGAATATTATTACTGAAAGAATTAAAATTTAATTACGAATTATTAAGCACTTAAATTAGATGTTTAGCAAATAAGTTAATACTTTTAAAATAAGAAAAAAGTTTAAAATAAACCAAAACTCCTAATATAACTGATAATTTGAAATAGAGGTACTTAGGAGTATAGATTAAGGTTCAGTTCTCTTCAATGGGCTTGCTCAGTCAACTAACTATTCACGGACTAGGCGACTTTAGCTATATTGTGGTAGTTGAAAAAGAGTCTGTAACAAATAAGAAAACAGGTGGTGGTTACACAGGTCTGTCATGTGAGGAGTGTGTATTTTTATCTCTTAATTATAAATGTACTAAAATAGTACATATGAAATAAAAATTATTATTGTAATAAATTTATATGTTAATATTTTTGAAGAAATTATTCAAAGAAAAAGAAAAAAGAATGCAATAATATAAAATTTAAATTTTAAAAATGCAATAACATACTATCAATTTTTGGAAAGATAACAAATGAATTGTAAGATGTCACATTATATCACATACTGACTTGCAAGTAAAATTTGTTACTCTAATATAAATTTTGAATTAAAAGATAAAAAATTGTATTCGTCTGAAACTTTTAGTTTTAGAATTTAAAAATAATAAATGTTGCATTAATTATAATTTACATATCTCATTATGTTTTTTCTTTTTTATAAAGTACATAAAATTAAATATTGATTTGAGAAGTTAAGAAAGCAACTTTTTTTTTTAATTAAATAACTGATTTTTTTTTAAAAAAAACAAAATGCAATTCTTATTAAACACTTGACATGACCATAAAATGTGATTTGTCAAACAAAATTACAAGAGAATGCAATATGTCAGTACAGGCAAAACATACAAGAATATAAATCATCTATCTAGTAGCTTTCCAACAACCAAATTTTGACCAAAAAGAACCTCGCATCAAAAGAATGTTATATGCTAGCACTAGACAAAACATACCCAAAATAAAATCAATTATCTAGTAGCATTCCAGCAAACAAATTTTGGCCAACAAAAACCTCATATCAAGCGAAACCCTATATCTTTTAAATCCCCAAAAGTGTCACACCTGTATCTGCTATATTTTAAGTCAACAACCATATAATTCCACACATAAAAAAGTGAAAACACAAGAACGTGTAGAAGATAGACTCACGTTACCACATACAGAAACACAGTGGATTAAGAGACCAATAGGAAAATGCATAGTTGAGTCCACCAGAAATAGTTAACCATTGTCATGATAATATCTCTACCATTTCTTCCATTTCCTCAACTGAGTGAGTTTTATGGGAGAACACCACTGCATTTCTGCTCTTCCAAATCACCTATATTCTTGCAAACCAAATCACGTTCCATATATATGCTATTTTTTTTTTTGGATACTTTAACCAAACCTCTGAATTGTGACATATGAGTAATCAAATCAAAATGAGAAGGTGCCTGAATTCCCCCACCAAAGAGTTGCATGATCTGAACACTCTAGCATGAGTTGACCCCTCCTTCAACTTACATCTGTTACACATAATTTGATCAGGTTGTAGCCAAATTTTAAAGTGATGGTATACAATTCTGTAGACCTTCTAAACAAATCCTTGTATTTTTAGCGATTAATAAAAAATGTTAATCTATTTCATATAAAAGCTGAAAAATGTATAACAAAATGAAAATGTCAAATATACATAAGGTTAATTAATTTTACTTTTTTCTTTTTTTCTTTTTTTGCAAAAGATTATTGATAATCAAACTTATGATAAGGTTATGGATTATTTATTGTGGTTTCTCATATGCCTAGTTACATATTGTGACCCAATAAAGATAGGCCGCCAGATTTTGTGGAAAGGCCCAGTTACTATTTTTGGTCAATGGCCCACTTAGCCTATGCCCCCCACCCCATGAACTATCAGGATTAAAATTCATGAAAGTGTAGCAATACACTCCTTCAACCACCCACCCTTTAAATTTTCCAAACGGGAGCACAACACATTTTATTCTTTGATCTCATCATAGATAACATGTTTAAGCAACCCAAACATAATAAGTTGTATGCATTTAATATAAAAGAAATTAATAGGATAAAGATTTTTCAAAAAAAAAATAATAATAATAATTATACAAAGGTCATATATTGGGTCATTGAACTACCAAGTTTGTGGATCAATTGACCAATAACTGTTCCAGTTTACTAAATAGTTTCGAATTCGAGTCTTTAATTTGCAGTCATGTTAAATACTCGGATAAAGAGCTTTCTTGTCTACAATAATCTTATCCAGTTGCATCAGAATAATCTCTAATAGATGATATCTATGCTATAGACAAAAAAATACCGGATCATTGAACCATGATTTAGTTTCTTTAATTTTTAGATTGGTTTGGTTTTTAAATACTTACATTTACATGCTCATTTTGGCAACTTTTAAATACTTGTTCTAAAAGAAGTTATATGTACAGGAAAAGGAGCAGCAACCAGCATAATAGGAACTAAACTACCTATTGAAGACAAACTTTTGAGGGTTTTCACTTCAATGGGAAACATAGCACTTGCATGCACGTACGCTACCGTTGTTTATGATATAATGGTAAAACACACAATTCACTTATTACATATGCACACTGTTTGAAGAAATTAATAAAAGCAAATAAGTGATGGGTGCTAGCAAATTGGAATTATGAGTTGTTACAATGAATCCAATTATTGTTTAGGACACATTGAAGGCACATCCACCAGAAAATAAACAAATGAAAAGAGCTAATGTGATGGGAGTCACAGCAATGGCAGTATTGTTCTTGCTGTGCAGTGGCCTTGGCTATGCTGGGTTTGGTGACAACACACCTGGAAACATCTTAACCGGATTTACCGAACCTTTCTGGTTGGTTGCATTGGGGAATGGGTTCATCGTAATCCACATGATTGGAGCGTATCAGGTTTTTTATCATTATTCTTTTTTTCTTCCATCAAGATGCTTTTCATCTCTAAATAGTTAGTCACTTTTAGTTTTGATCGTCATAATATTTTTTTTTTCAATCTAGAATATATTGACATAATGTTTTCAGTCCATCTTAGATTTGTTTTATGATGACATGATATAATGAGATTATAGGTCGTTTGGATAAATATTTTATTTAATATATTATATAATAATTTTTTTATGTAATAAGAATTTATGTTATAATTGTTTAAAATTAAATAAGTTGTTCCTATGTTAATAAGTAATTAAATAATTTTAAAGTGTATTCACGTATCATTATTTAAGTGTTTATAAAAAAGGATATCTCCTTTTGAAAATTTAACAAATTACAAATTAAATTTTAACTAAAAATAAAATAAGATTATAAAAGTAACTAAAGAATTTTTAAAAATGACATTATGCATCATAATAATAATAAAAATGATAAAAAAAAAAAAAAAACACTAGTCACCATTCACCTAATTTTAGTTTATAAAAATTAAATTAAAATTAATAACAAAATATGAGAAATCAATTATATCTATAACCATGATTAAAAGTCAAAAGTCGTAAATCTTAAAAATTAAAAATCAATTCATAAAATAATGATAAAAAGTTATTGCATAAATATCAACAACAAAATTATTCCAAATGTCCTATTTTAGAAAAAAAATTACAAGATTGTTTTTTTTATTTATATATATACAGGGGAATGTGGATTTCAGGGAGAAGAGATGTAAAACAAAAAATTGGATAAGAGAAAAAAGTAATAAAAAAAATTAGAGAGAGAAACAAATTGGAAGAAGTAATGAAAAAAATATAAAATTGAATTTGGTGAAAGAATGAAAATATAAAAATTAAATTATTTACGTCAACGATTGAATTCAAACTTGAGTATTTTTCAATAAATTTCTACATAAGCTGAATAATAAGTTATATTAAACAAATATCCAGATAAGTTCAAAACATCCTATGGGATTACTCATAAGATATTTGATTAGTTTATCTAAACACTCCTATAAACATTTATAGAATAAGATAAGTACAAATATATTGTTCATAAACTCTTTTAAATGAGGTCTATGTTACTTGTTAGAGACTTGTTTACCACGTGATGCTAATGAGATTTATCTTATGATAAAGATTATACTTATAATAATTTAATTAGAATGCATTTATAGTTAAATATTTTTTACTCTAATATACTATTATATATGATAAGATTATTAACTTTCATAATAGCTGCTTTAAAAGTTGTATGGTGAGTGATTTATAATAAGTTTGATACTATAAAAAATTATACTAACATATGAAAATTAAACTTATTATATAATTCAATAAAATCAAGGACCAAGTGATTTTTTTTTTCTCAGAATGATGAAAATTAAAATTAACTAATTTTTAAGGACAAAAAGAAGTATACATTATTTATTTTTAAATTTGAAAGTTATTAGTGTTATTAACATATGGTTGAACTTTGGTGCCTGATTTGAGAAATCAATATTTTATTACAGGTGATGGGTCAACCATTCTTTCGATTAATTGAAATGGGTGCTAACATGGCGTGGCCACATTCGGATTTCGTAAACAAAGAACATCCATTCATGATAGGTGGTGTAATGGTTCGTTTCAACTTGTTTAGGTTAATTTGGAGGACAGTTTTTGTGATATTGGGCACAATTCTTGCCATGGTAATGCCATTTTTCAGTGAGATTCTTTCTTTTCTTGGAGCAATTGGGTTCGGGCCACTAGTTGTCTTTTTTCCCATACAAATGCACATTGCCCAAAAGCACATTAGAAAACTATCACTTAGGTGGTGCTGCCTCCAACTCTTAAGTGGCTTAGGCTTCATTGTTTCATTGGCCGCTGTAGTTGGTTCAGTTCATGGAATGATCAAGAATTTCCATAAATACAACCTTTTTATGTATAAACAATAGTCCCTTGGAAATCAAAATCTAAAATGAATGCAACTAATTACAACCTTTTTCTGCATAATACTTCTTCTACTTCTACTTTTATGTCGACCTTGGAGGAAAGACATCAATGGCAATTATATATATAGGTCACATTGGCTAACTAATATCTTGTTATTCCATTTACTTTTACTTTTCAAGTTCAATATGTTGTTGATTTGACATACTTTTCAAGAATGATCATATTTTATATGTTGTTGAACGTTGAAATAATATACCCTTCCAAACTCAGGAAGAAGTTTATCATTTGTTTAATATAGTAGGTTGCTTCAAGCTGGAGTTGGCTCTTGCAACTAATAAAGAGAACGTTTTTTTTTTTTTTTTCATAAGTACATTGATTTTAACCAAATAATTAATATAAATATCATTAGTACGAGGTTTGTTAATAATTTTATATTTTGTTATAAGTTTTAACTATTTAAACAAACATATCGAATGTGTGACAAATATTTCTACTCATCATCTTTAATATCGTACGTGTTGCAAAAAAGCTTTTAAGAGAAAAATGAAAATTTCAAAACTTTTCTCAAATAAATAAATGTTATTACATGCTCAATTCAAGGTTCAAGTACAAAATTTAAATGGAACAAAAAAGTAACACAATTTGATAAATATTTAACCCTTAAGTTCCAATGTAACATCCTTTCAAAGTAAGCTATAGTCATAATGACAGTAAACATTGAGGTCTAAGTTTTTTCTCTAACATCAACATCTAATTGATCCTCACTAGTAAATATTGTTTAATTCAAACACAAACTAAACAAATACAAGGGAATGATACACATCTTCCTGCATGCGTTGATGTGAACCAAGTGTTGGAAAACTTTCAAACATCTAAACATACATAGCAATAAGCACGTTATATAATAAACATTACAAGATAATGATTCATGCCATGCGATGTTTAGGGATGAACATTATTCCTCTAATTAAGGAAGAAAAACTAGAGCATATTTTTCAACCCTTACAAAGTGAGCTTTCCAATGCACATGTTTGATTCTTTCAAACATTTCTAAAACTATTAAACTACAATATCATGCATTTGGATTAGGTGTGACAAGTGTCTTGTTGTAGGGTGTGCACCCTATTACTTCTGATGGAGGCCCATGGGCCAAAGGTCCAACTACTAAGGCCATGACTAAAAGGATGCATGAAGAATGAGCCAATGCTAAAGAAAAGCGCATAGTTCTTTTTAGTTGCCCTATACTCTAAAAGCCCATGTAGTGTAGATTTGGGCCATTGGGCTTGTATTTTTGTGGGGCTTGTATTTTGGCCAAGTAGAGTAGGAATTTCATTTCCTTGTAATTTTGAATTTAGGTTTATAGGAAGTGTCATGTGCATCTCAATTTAAATGTAATTAGCATTACATTTAAAGTGAATTACGGTCACACCATGTGCATGAAGCACATGCACCGAAATTCACTTTCAAATGCATGCCTAATTACATCTAAATTAAGTAGCACACGGGAGAGGGACGGTTGGCTCCAAAATTTGAATTCAAACATTCAAACTTTGACGCCTAAGGTTTAATTAACCATACCATGGTTTAATTAAACCTTAGGCTAAGCCTAGCTTCCCTAGCACACTTCCTAAGTCTATATAAACACTTTGGCCGTGTATGTGTGATACTTTTGACATTAATGAGATTCAATTTTCTGAATTTGACTCTCCCTCTGAAAGTCCTCTAAGGAGAATTCTCTCCAATTGATTCCTTGAGACTTCTTCTTTGGAGCCTTGGATCATCCAAGTTCTAATCCGGAAGCTTAGTGTAACTTGAATCAACATTGAATCTTCCAACCTTGTTCCGTCCTTGAAGCTTCTTAAGGATTTTGGCTAGAAGAGTTTTGAAGAATTGATCATGAAGCTTGAAGAATTAGGAGCTTCATCAACTTCTTTGAAAGTAACTCTTTATGGTGTCACTTTCAACTATCCAACCTTACTTAACTTGACCTTGATCAACATAACTTGCATCACAAGTTACCAAATTCTATATATTGGATCTACTGTAACACCCTAAAATTTCAAAAGTAGAAAATAAAATAGAAAATATTATTTTCTAATAGTTGCTTATTTTATATGTCATAATTAATTGTACAAAATGGTAAAATAGGATTAAATAAATAACTTTCAATAAGGAAAAAAAATAAAGAATACAAATGTTATGTCAATAAGTGGTGAAATAGGATTAAATAAATAACTTTCAATAAGGAAAAAAAATAAGGAATACAAATGTTATGTCAATAAGTAATAGAGAATAGAGAATTTAAAGGTGGTTAACGAAGTTTAAATTATCCAAAATTAAGTGAGACCATGTGGGTCTCACTCAAATCGTAGGTTGGCTCACTATATAAGCAAACTTGAGACCCCAGTCTCCTTCCATTCCTGTCCATTGGCCATCACCTTGGGGAGAAGAGGAGTTTCAAAAAAAAAAAAAACTATTCTCTTTGTTCTTGTAGCTAAGTTCCCCCACACCTATCCATATTATTCTTTTGCTTTTTTTTAATCTTCTAATTCCTTTCTTCTTCTCCATAAAAGCATTCTGGAGTTTGTAAGGAGAATTTTTTCTTGATACCCATAATAAGAGCTTTAAGGAGGTAAGGGAGGGGGTTAGACTCATTTCTTGGGTTTATTTTACTATTTGTTCTTGCTTGTGATTTTGAGTTGGATGAAATTTCTTTTCTACCTTTTGCTGATAAAACAGGGCTAGTGTCCAACATTTTTTTGGAGGAGCTAAAACCTTATTATAATGCTTCAAAATGATGTATAATACATAGGAAATGGTATTGGAGTGATATGTTATCTATTGGGACTTGTTTGCACATGAAAATGACTTTAAAATAGGGTTGAAAATGCTGTCAAAAAATTGCATAACAGGGGCCTGCGGGTTGAACGATATAAATTAGGAATCATGCTTTAAATTGTGTTTTGAGACTTGAAATATGTATAATGTAAATCATAAAGATGTTAGACTTAATTTGATTGAATTTGGAATTGATTTAAGTAGTGTTTAACCCTAAAAGAATGACTTTTGACTCAAATAAATGATTATTCTCATGACAAGCCTATTTTTTCTTTGTTGGACAAGGATCAAAGTTTAAATTGTGTTTGAAGACTTGAAATGTGTATATTATGAATTGTAATGATATTGGAATTAATTTGGTTAAGTTTGGAGTTGATTTGAGTTTGAATGTGATTTGAAAGTGTGATCTAGACATATTATAGTTGATTGTGATATGATGGTTTCGATTCATGACTCTAAATATAGATGCTTCGTATGATATTTAATGTACTTTCATGCTCTAAGTGAGGTACCAAGGTTGTATGTGAATTCATAAGTTGAGGTGTGATGTTAGGATTCTCAAATTGATGATGTGATTTGTGTGAAATGGTTTGTATATATATGAAATATTTACTTCAGAATTATGCAGAAAAATTAATCTCATTTTAGTGTGAAAAATGAACGATTTTATGTGTGGAATGATAGATACAAGTGTTGGCATGGTTTGGTAAATTATTATAGTAATTTAGACTTGTTATGATGATTAGTGTAGGAAACTAAAAAAGAAATAAAATTGGCTGATTTTCCTGCATCTTAAAGTGGGAAAAATGTGTTTTAAAACTTATAAAAGTGTCCCAAATTGCTAAGAATATGTACCTGAGAGGTAGTGTAAGTAACCTAAGGAGTTTGGGATGATTTAGTGCTCAAAATAATGAGTTATAACTCTTGAAAATTGAATTACATACCTTGAGCGAAAATAACATTTTCATACTCTAAAATTTATCTAAAACTAGGTTAAAGGATATTGAAGAATGAAGTCATAAAGTTATTTTATTTAAGTATATTCAATTTAAGAATTCTTAGAGGTGATTTAGGTTACTAAACCCTAAACCCTAAATCCTAAACCCTAAACTCATGACTTAACTATAATAGACTTTATTGATTAATGTTCATAAAATACTTAAATAGTTTATTATGTGGAGTGACATTAAATTTCATATAAGATATAAGGTCAATAGGATTAACTAAGAGGAGAAGTGTAAATTAGTAAAGTCAAATTAAGACATTACTTCCTCTACATAGCTTTGGGTCTTGAGGAAAATGAACTAATTTTTAAGTTAAATCTTTAACCATCATTAATTCTTGAAATTTCTATATGTGCAATGTTGATGTGGTTGATTATAAGAAATGTACATACATATAAAATGAAATATGTTGATGAATCATTGTGTATGATAAGGAGATGATCCATTTTTATTCCTAAATAGTCACCAAGTGATGGAAATCTAGTTCCCAAGAATCCCTTTGAAAGATATAATTCTAAGAAGGGTGAAAGTTGATAAAGTTAATTTGAAGAATTATAGGGTACTTACTCTTATTTTGTAAGGTACCCTACCTTTGGATGCTTATTCTGCCTTAAAAGACTTCTATTGTTGATATACATTTTTCTTGTAATTCATTTTAGTAGTGATTGTATTAGGATATTTTTTGGCCTTGTATTTTGGGTCAAGTAGTAGAGATAATTTTATTCTTGTATTACTTTAGGGTGTAATTAGTAGATTAGGGGAGGTGTAACTGGCAAAGTATTGTTAGACTTATTTGAGATTGGATGACCCAAATATTTTTATGGCCCATATGTTTGGATGTCCACTTGCTCATGCAAGTGGTTTGGATGTCCAAACCATGCCAAGCTTGTCATCCATGCTACATATTAAGTCACATGGATTTGATAGTAACATCTCAACAACTTGTTAAAAGTAATCATTAGTGTAGTAGTTGTAATGATTATGTTAGGTAGTTGGAGTTAACTTAAGCTAACATAGGTTGTTCTTAAACTAAGATTAGCTTAGCTCGCTCTAATAGCTTTTAGACAACTAACTAGACTTGTAGACATTTAATTAGAGTTAGTTAGCTTAAGTGCAAGATAGTTAACCATGGTTACATTTAACCATAGTTAATCTAGCTTTCACCATAAGCCAACTAAACTCTATATATTATATCTTTGTACCCGTTTTGTAATAGTTTGAGTATTATACATGATTTGGACAAAATTCCTCTCCAAATTCTCTTTTAAAGCTTGTTTCTCTCTTTGAAATTCTTTTTTTTTTCCTCTTATCCTCTCTTGAGTGTGGTGAAAATTTG